AGCTCGGGTCAGGTTTGTTAGAGTCTCTTCGATTCTTGGAAGGGGAAAGGCATCTTTATGGGTTACGGCATTGAGTTTCCTATAGTCGACACAGAACCTCCAGTTACCGTCCTTCTTCACCAGAACTATGGGCGCAGCCCATGGGCTACAACTTTCTCTGATTACCCCCTTCTCAAGCATTTCTACAAGTAGGCTCTTCATTTCCTTATACATCAGAGACGGAAGAGGTCGGTATCTTTCTCTGATGGGCGCTGCATCACCCGTATGGATACGGTGTTGTACCAGGTCTGTCCGACCAAAGTCTTCATCATGGTTAGCAAACGCGTCCTTCCACTTGAGCAGCAGGGTGCATAGCTCCTCCTGTTGCTGTTTAGAGAGATCAGGTCGGTTAGTCAGGTTCTTTACCTCTTCAGGCAGCTCCTGTCCCTTGTGGTTGCCTGTTGCATCTACCAAAGCCACTTCAACAACGCAATTGTCTTTCAGAGATAAGGTAAGGTCACAAGATCCACGCACATCAGCTCCATCAACGTGGTACAGCTTACCCAATTTCTGGTTCCGCCCTATTGACAAGGTGTAGGGATATGGGTTACAGACACGAACAGGGATTCTCCCGTTTCTTACCACTGCTAGTGTCCTAGCTACGCCAACATTGTTGGTTTCAGGTAGTGCTTCCATCAGGGCACAGTAGTCTGTTCCTCCCGGGCCCATCCGAGCACGGCCCCACACCAGCAGCTCAGTCTTTGGTGGGACTCGGATATTTTGGCGAGTAGCTGGCCGCACGTTTCCCAAGAATCAGTCTTCTGTCATGGTGGCCTCGATACGTCGACAGGTAGCAAAAGCATCCCGCCAAACTCTCTGGTTCTTCAGCTGCTGTGGAGTGGAAACTGGCCTTCCAGGTTGTTGAAAGAGTGTTTCCCAGCAGGCGGTCACAACATTCATACCTATGAGGAGCGGGTGGGTGCAGTGTTTATCTTTAATAATCACGACTCCTCGTCCAGGTATTTTGATGCCTTCCACTTCCAGATCAAACACCGCGTAGCTAGTGTATGGGATCTCCAGCCCGTTGGCTGCCCTTAACTGGAAAACTACAGGGGTCTTCCCAAGCTTAGCTTTGGAAAAATGCTGCTCAAATAAACTCTGCTGCATTAATGTAACCTGAGACCCCGTATCCAAAAGTCCTTGCAACTCAACCCCTTCAATCGTTACTCCTATAGTTGGGCATTGCCCAATAAAGGCTTCCGTGGCCCTTGAGTCGTGTAGTGCATCAGCAACCCCTGCCCCTTGGACCTCAGCAGCAGGGACAGCTAGTTTAAAGCCGCCTGGGAAGCAGACCTCCTACAATACCTGGCTATATGTCCCGCTTGTCTACATTGGCGACAGATTGGCCTACCTTGTTCATCCCAGTCATTAACACCGGACGCCGGTCGCGACCGCTCCCTATGTTGTGTCAGGGGCTGTGGGGGAGCATTGACTGGTTGAAGTAGTGGTTTAATTTCCTTTATTAATTCTTGGGTGAGTCCTTGCATCTGGGATTTCACATCTTCCATGATCTCTCGCTTCAGCGTGTCTCTCCAACTTTCCTTCTGTAACAAAGCAGGGGAGGCATGAGAGTCGTTCACAGAAAAGCATGCTACCTCCGGCTGTGTGTATCCGTGTTCTGAGTCCAGCAGTAGTGCTTCTTGTCGAAGTGCAGCAAAGTCTTCGTCTGGGTTACGGCGCGCATACACCTTCAGCGCCTGAGCCATTGGGCCTTCGTTTAGCCCAAGCAACAACTGGTCTCGTAGCACCGTGTCAGAGGGGGCGTTGCTTGGATCATTCCGCCGCAACATGCAAAACAGCTCTCTCAACCGTAATATGAACGAGGGTACAGACTCTCCAGGTTTCTGTTTACAACCGAAGAACTTTGATCTTAAAACCGGGGTTGGGGTTCTATCGCCATAGAGTGTCTAGGTAGAGAAAAATCTTCCTACCCTGGTCTCGCTCACTGTCTTCAAGGACGCTGACGTTTAGCCTCACCTGCTAAGGCTCCCAACACAATAGCTGCCTTCCCAGCTTCTGTTAATTCTTGGGAACTTAACAGTCCTTGAATCTGTTCCTTCCAATCACTGTATTTTACATCTTCACCGGGCCCTTTAAATTTAGGCAGCCACGGGGCACCAGGAAACACAGGCATCATCATCTTCAAAGCCTTTTTTGTCTTAAATCACCGCAGCTGTTCTCCAATCCGGTCCTGCCAGCGACGCCAGAAAAGTTCCCTTGTCAGCCTTGTGAGGCGGGGGAATTAAAATCTAATAAAAAATAAGATTACATTTATAAAAAGGTACCAGCAACGCCACCTAGTTGCGGAGTCTAGGTCTCCATAAAACAGGTTCTTGTTCACCGGAGGAAGAACAGCATGGATCACAAGACTTAAAAGCGTGGTTTAAAAGGAGGATTTTATTATTAACTAAAAACCCATAAATAACTACAATATTAAAAGTCCAGTTGGAACAAGGTACTAAAAGGATTTAAGAATTCGACCAGCCACTGCTGCTGGTCGGTCTTGCCCTTTCTTCTTGTTGTTTCCGGTTCCGTTCCTTTCCTGGGTGAGGTGTCCAGTCCGTTTCGTTCCTCTCCCCGTTGCACCCTGCCTGCTCGTCCGTTGTCTGGCCGCCCTCTCGCTCGATTTCCCGTGGCTTCTCCTGCCCGTGGCTTCACCTTTCTGTGGCCTTCCTTCCTGTGGCTCCCCCGCTGTGGCCTTCCTCCCTGTGGCTCCCCTCTCTGGGGCCTTTATAGCAGCTGTGTTAATTGGAGAGGGGAGGTCCTTTCATTGTGTAATGTGGTTGGCCAGGGCTCTCTGTAATTGATTAGTCCCTCCAGGTGCATGTAATTTACCAAAAGGTGGGTTTATATGTAAAAAAATGTAATCAAACAAACCATGCAAAAATGTAATAAAACAAACCACGCTAAAATGTAAAAACAAGCCATGCTAAAAGGTTATAAAACAAGCCACGCTAAAATGTAATAAAACAAGCCATGCTAAAATGCAAAACCAATAATTTACAGAAACCACAATGTCCCCCTGCTGACAAAGGTAATAATTGCACTTGGTGTAAAGAATAATAATGATAACCTGAAAACTACAAAGTAAAAACTTCTGCTCGAGAATTCTTTTTGCAAACATTTATTTTCTTTTCAGTATTAAGAATTAAAGACAAAGCCTCAATACAACAATGTAAGAGATTTAGCAAGAGAAAATAACTAAATGTACCAAAATATTTTTTAGTATGCTAAAATAAATGTTAAGTCTTTACATATTCAAACATTAAACTTTTGTCTGAATGACTTATTTATTCTTGTATAAACAAAAGGAGAAATGCATCAAAGCGAGGGAACAATCAGACAAACTTTCCAAATACATTCATGACTTGTCTGACTAAAGTTTGGGGAACAACAGTTTGCGTGAGAGGAGGAGTGAAGGACAAGGTGAAAACTTAAAAGCAATTGTTCCACCTCCTTAGTCCTCTGTCCTCAGTGAGACGTTTAAAGAGACGTCTTGCAACCATTGAGAGGTGATGATGAGCTGAAGGTGAACCGCTGGTTCAATGTGTAATAAAGTGTAGTGATGGAGGAACATTCAGCAGTGAAAGATTCATCACATATTGTGTGTGATGTTTATTGTATCATGTGTCTACTGTTTTTACAGGAACCATTGTGACTCCTGTGTTTGTGCTGAAGGGACGTGATCTGCTCCTCAAGCTTCATGTTGATCCTCCTGAGGGGGTTTTAGCTGTTGACTGGAAAATCAATAAAACCGTCACTTTAGTAAGATTTAAACCTGGTGGAGAAGAAACTGTCCTTCGTAATTCCACTGGAGGGTTTGAGTTTCCTGAGAATAAATTCTCTGATATTGAAGAATGTACAAGAGGTCGACAGTGGAGTTTATTCTGCTGTAGCAGGAACAGATACAGGAGACAAACTACTGACTGAATACAAGGTCACAGTTCAAGGTGAGTCTGTAAACATTTCACTGATAGTTTCTGCCGCCATGTTTCATAAACTCTTCACAGAAACCTCCCTCAGGACCAGTGTCTCCAGTTGAACTGATCGTGGACCGAGTGGACAACAGCTCAGGGTCATGTGACCTCCATGTGACCTGCAGGACTCACAACTCAAACATCAGCAGCACTTTCAGATGTGTCGACTGGTTCTGCAATCAGGAGGGAGGAGAGCGATCAGAGGTCACGACCTTTTGGGCTTCTCTCCAGGTCTACCTGTTGAACAACGTGATCATCTGTAACCATAGCAACCAGGTTAACTGGACCCACAACTTCAATACGACTGAACACCTTTGCACAACTGGTAAGACTGAAAGAGGAGACGACTTCCTGATATTAATGAACCCTCTTCCCCCCCCAAAAAAACACCATATAGTTTCAACCATTATTGACTATAAATGCCGGTAGAACTAAATTCTGTGTTAATTGAAGAAATTAAACGATTTCTCTATACTTATAGATCACGTAACAAAGTCCTTTAGAAGCACATCAGGCTGTGAACATGTGACACATTCTCAGCTGTGCTGCGTCATTTAAACCAGGAAGACTCTTCTGATCTGGTTCTTGTTCTGTTTTACAGATTCTCCCTCTCCCTCTTCCTCTTCCTCTTCCTCTCCCTCTCCCTCTCCCTCTTCCTCTCCCTCTCCACCTGTCTGGGTGATTGCTAGTTTCACTGCTGCTCTCACTCTCATCCTAATTGTGGTTCTATCCGTCTGGCTTTGTATTGATCGAAAGAGAAGAATCGGTAAGTCCAAGTAAACGTTCCAACAAATAATCTCAACATCTGTAAAATCCTCTTTGTTTCCTCTACATAGAAACTCAATGTCTCCAAGTCCTCCATAACTATGTACCCACCTGTTTGGTTAAATAGCCCAATATCACAAATCACAGTTTGCCTCCGAGCGCTGAACAATCTGTACAACACAGGACGTCTTTTACTGCATCAGACAAGGAAACAATACATGTGATATTTTACCAAAAGGTGCTTTTTATCTCACTGGGATTGTCATGATTTGCTCTTTTGATACAAACATCCCAACACATCAAATCCAACACGTCAACATGTGCTTCTGTTTGAGGATGGAGTAAATTAGACACCACCCAAAATATGGAGTCACTTTATCTGCAGCTCAAGTAAAGTAAATGTACAACAGTTCAGATCTTTAAAGGGCTGTTTGTTCTTCTTCCATCACTGACCTGCAGGTTCAAGAAGGAGCATCGATAATGTCATTTATGAAGCTGCTCAGGTAAGCGTTACGTCTTTTAACATCACCCTCCGGATTTGAAGAAACGGGCAAAATTGAGAAATGATGTTAGAATCAAAACCTTGAACCAAAGTCTTTTCCAGATTTGTCCAAAGAGAGCGAAGTATTTAAATCAGTGACTGTTAATCGTCAGGAGATGATTCCCCACGAGGAAAATAGCACCATTAAAAAGAAGCAAGTAACCTTTTCTTACGTATGTGATTCATCCTGCAGGACGAAACATCTGCACCACAGAACCCAACAAACGACGTCACCTACAGCTCGGTGAAGTTTCACGCTCGATCTCCTCAGGCAGCCGCGGCGACAGGCAGGAATCAGTCAGAGAGCCTCTACGCTGAGGTGAAGAAACCCGGCAGGTCCTTCAACGATTAAAGAGGAATGTTTCCCCAAATCCTGGAATTCTGCTGGTAGTTTGCAGAGTTATTGAAGCTTTCTGTGTTTTAGTTCATGTGATCTGTTTTAATGCTGAAAGATTCTCCTCGTCACAAACGTGTCATTGGAGAGATTAAAATGATCAAATGTTACTAAACATCACACATTTAAAAGTACCTTTTTTTTAGCATCACAATTCAAGGTCTTAGTAATTAGATATTTTACATTTAAGATCAATGTAGAAAAAGTAATAAACATGTTGTTGTCCTGCAGGAAGCTTCAGCTTTGGTTCCTGGTTTGATTCTTCATGTCACTTTTCATCTGATCATTTCCTAAAGAGCAACGATTTACACTTTAGACTTTTAAGGCACAAACACAGGAGTCACAATGGTTCCTGTAAAAACAGTAGACACATGATACAATAAACATCACACACAATATGTGATGAATCATTCACTGCTGAATGTTCCTCCATCACTACACTTTATTTATTACACATTGAACCAGCGGTTCACCTTCAGCTCATCATCACCTCTCAATGGTTGCAAGACATCTCTTTAAATGTCTCTCGTCCTCAGTGAAACATTTAAAGAGGTGGAACAAATGTTTTAAAGTTTTTCTTTACATGAAAATGTTTTTGCAATTTCAAAAAATGAGAACTTGTGGACTTTCTTTCACCTTGTCCTTCACCCAAACTATTTTTCCTCAAGCTTTAATCAGAGAAGTGTAATGGGAAAATGATATGTGACCCTTTTAAATGCTTCATTTGTATAACCAGTTTATTAGTTGCAAGTGCTTAGGTCACAAAGGCCCTGACATAAGAACTGATGTCTCCCACTTGGATTAGATGTTTCCAGCGTCATAGCTGTAGAGACTGAACAAAGTGTTTGTTATGTCTATGACCACCTTTGTTTTTGAATGTTGGGAGAGCAAGGATACGGTCAAAGAGCTGACGTGTCTTACATGGATAAGATGTTCCCAGTATCCTGACTGTAGATACTCAACAAGATGGTTAACGGTTTCTGTTGACGCCACCGATATCTAAGTTTAGGTATAAGAACTGCCTCGATGTGTTGGGAAGAAAAGGAGGTTCTTGACAGTCTACTGACCATGTAGCTGTTGTGACCCTTTTCCCCTTGCAAGGAAATAAACGGAGAAAAGACATACTTGACTCAGAGCCTTTGATTCTTACTTAACGATTGTCTGTGCAAAATCTTCCACCACAATTTGGTGTCAGAAGTGGGATCGTTTGAAGCTCCGTCGGGACTCCGAGGACGTCCGGGAAGGGACCCCTTCAGGATCCACCAAACGTGATTCTGCCCTATACCTCATCACACTCAGAGAGAGGGGACCGGCGACCAAAAGAGACCTGATTGGCTTCAACACGATCCGATGAGGAAGATTTTCACACGAATCGGGTAAGAAGTTGATATTCTGATTTTCAAACGGGGCTTCCTGAATTATAACGGGTGGTAACAGATTACAAAGACGGGTATTTAGTACTTTGGGATTTAAAAAAAAAAAAATTTCTCTCTCTTCTTAGAAAATCCAAATTTCGGTTATTTGATTGGGCTTCTAATGATGATAACTTGTCTTTTTATCCGGTTATTTAAAAAATGTGTGAGTAATTGTACAGTATTTCCGGTTCATCAGCATCCAACTTTTTACTGAGGAAGACAGGGAGCAATGTGCGCATTTACGATTGTATTCAGACTAACTATCTGAAAATCGCATAATTGTGACCCTTGACCAAGGGGGAAGACAGGGGCAATTTGCGTCGCATTATTGGGACCCTTGACCTAAAAGGGGAAGACAGGGGCAATTTGCGTATTACGATTGTATTCAGACTAACACTCTGAAAACGCATAATTGTGACCCTTGACCAAAGAGGAAGACAGGGGCAATTGACAATTGTGACCCTTGACCGAAGGGGAAGATAGGAGGGATTTTGAGAGTTCACTGAAATCGCAAAATCTCAGCCCTTGACCTAACAGGAAGACAGGAACAATATCTGGGTTTTCGGACAGTAATCTGAAAACAGATATTTGCGCCCTTGACCTATATTTATTAACCAATAGTTCTGGTTGGGTTTTAACTTGTATTTTTCCTACGTAAAAGAAAATCAAGACTTATAGTGACGACTATATTTTAAGTAATAAAAGTATACTTCACCACGCCTGAAAGATGGGTGGTGTACACGGTAAAGGTAAAAAGGAAATGGGTTCTCCGGAGGGACCCATTGTGGATCTGATGAGAAGGAAATATGGAGATCAATCTCTAGAGTTTTTGCCCGAGTGGTCAAAAGATTTTGGGTTCCCTGCAAATGGTTCTTTCAGTAGAATAAAACTGAACATGTTACGAACAGGCTTAGAGGCAAAAGAGAAGGGTATAAAATCTCAGAGGGTGATAAAAGGCAAAGACTTGGAGGACATTGAGAAACAAAGTAAATGGTTAAAATGGTGGGAGGATGAATGTGAATGTAGAGAAAGGAAACAAATGGCTAAAGAATTGACATGCGCAAAAACCACATTGGTTGAAAAACCAGATACAAATGTTATTGAACAAAATGACCGATGTGCTTCTTCTCCCTTGTATCCGAGTCTCACAGGGGCTGGCGGCCCTCTCCTCAACACATGCCCACCACGTACCCTGCTTCATCTGCGAACCAGCAACCTCCATCTGCAGGAGCACATATCAAAGTTCACTACACCCGGCAGAGGGAGGAAAAGGAAGCGGCAGTGAAAGCAGCACAGGAACGACTCCTTGGCAAAGAGGAGGAAAAGAGACAGGCCGCTCTCCTCACTCGCTCTCGCTCTCCAGGAGCAACCGGAGGGGACACTTCTGCCATCAACAAACTGATTGCAGAGCAACCATCTACATCAGATGTTGTTTCCCCCTCTTTCGACCCAGAGGGAGTTCCCCCGGATGCAAAATCTGTGCTCCAAACCCCAATGATTCAAGTACCAGGACACTCAGGTCCCATACTTGTTTTCCGGCCTTGGACTGATACGGACATTAGAGCTGCAATGGCTCATCTCCCGCCGATACAGCACTCGGGAAGACTGTTTGCTGAAGCATTCATGGACTTCTGTAAGCACTTCCTGCCCAACTTTGCTGAAATTCGACGTGTTCTAATGAGTCACGTGGGTCCGACTCACTACCAGAAGCTCAACCAGCTGGTTGCAGGAGACACCAGTGCAGCCGATGTTGAATGGAGTTGAAATCAAAATAAGCCGTACAGAGACGCACTCACGGCTTTGAGCGACGGCATAAAGACATTGTTCCCTGACAAAGTGGATATGACTCCCATCAACAATAGCAAGCAGGCAGCGGGTGAGTCCGTCCATGATTACTACCAAAGACTTCTCACAGTGTTTAATCTTAACAGTGGCATTCCACAACCCGCCGTGTTAGGAGACGCTCTGGGGACGTGGGAATCACACCTGAAGAATGCTGTCATGAATGGACTATTACCCGACATAAAAATGAATGTGCAGCGTTCTGTTGCTGGAATGGAAGACTCGCGACTCGCGGATGTAAAGAAACATGCTGCGCATGCGCAATCCATGGACATAGAGAGAACTGACCACGAGGGGAAACGGCGTCACGTCAGATTGAACTCGCCCAACTGACTATGCTCCAAGCTGTCACTCAACTTGCCAGAAATGACCGCCCACGGGATCCCAACCAACGGGGCGGATTCAGGGGGCGTGGTCGGAACATGACGAGGGGACGCTCCTCCTGGAACCAGGAGGGATCACAGCTGTCTCCACCCAATGACTATGACGTGTTTCCGCTGTGGCGAACAGGGACATTGGCACAGAGAATGTCCACAAAATGCACCTCGTAGAGGATGGGGGCGTGGACTGGCCAGACGAGGAAGGGGTGGCAACGCACAATCCGATTGACGTGAGGCGGAGGGGGAGGAGGCTGCATGTGAGGGGGAGACGGCAACCATGCTGAGGCCTCACATGATAAGGGAAGTAAAACACACACACACCGCAGCCTGCAATGAAGAAACGCTTTCTGCACTAACTCCCTGCACGCACACTCACACACCGGAGCAACAACAAGCTCTCGTGGACATCACAGAGCAATTGAGAACACAACAAAAGCTTTCACTTAAACACACATACGCAAAGTTTTCAGGAAAATCATTTGAAAATATGCCCACCACTATGGTGCAAATTCAAGGGAAACTTTTATCGTTTTTGGTTGATTCGGGGGCTACACATTCTGTAATACAACAGAAGTATTTTCCAGGTCAGAAACTTAGTGGAAAACAGGTTTTCTCACAAGGAGCTTCAGGGATGACTATTGTAGAGAGATTTACGGCACCTATGACCAGTACACACACTGACTCAACTGACCCTGAACCAGACATCACAGTAAAACATTCCTTTTTGCTGTCCTCTTGCTGTCCCATTAATCTAATGGGCAGAGACCTCATGTGTTCCTTCGGCATTAGCCTCATCTCCACTCCTACAGGGTTGCAAGTGGTGAGATGCAGAGCCATTGACCAGATGGCAAAGACAGTTATAAGTGATCCAATGTTTGTGTACCAGTGGTGGCTTCCGGTTGACTCACAATCAGAACTGTCCCACCTGGCAGCATCACGCGTCCAGCCTGAGGCAGAGTGCATGGATGCTTCATATCTCCACTGCACAGCTCATGTGTCACATGGGCCAGATAAGCAATATGATGCATTATTTCTACAGGATCTGAATGATCAGATTGCATGTATGACATTGTTTTGGTCCACACTTAAATGTGCTGTTTCCGTTTCTCTCACCCCCTCTCAGCAGCACCTCTTTAATGTGGACTCTTCTTTCCCACACATCTCCTTGTCTAAAGCAGCAACAGACCAATGGAGAGATTTGGGACTTTTTGTCGCAGCGTGCGAGGCATTGACAGATTGGGAGGCTACACCAGATCCACTTGTGATGCGCTCTCCGTCGACAGGCTTCTTTAAACAGCCATTCGCATTTTGCACACCTGCTCTCAGATCTGTTTATGTCATGGATGAAAATAACATATTTTCTGACACACACACTGATACATTTTTGACTAATGTCTCCTCTATTTCTCCTGCCCTCAGTTCTGTTCCAGACACCTTGTGGGCAGCGCATAAATATGACGTGGGACTCATCAAAAAATGTCAACCTGTGGTCATCACTCCTCGATCAGACTTCCGTCCCCACAAACATCAATACCCACTGCGCCAAGAGGCCATTGACGGTATAACACCGGTGTTCAACTCCCTCTTAAAGGCCGGAGTCATTGTTCCATGTCCTGACTCGCCGGTAAGAACACCTATT